GGATTTAATTTAGCTTTTTTGCAACTGATTAACAGAAAAGAAAAAAAAAGAGTTTTAATGTCAAAAGTGAAACAAATGCAGCATCCACTAAAAAAATGACACACCTAAACCATCACTGGCACAGCCAATTCATTTTCAAAGTCAAAGTTAAATAGATCTCTTGTGAGTAGTTAAGTGGTTTCATTTGATTGTAGTATAGATACAGCTCTATCTGCAAGGTCTAACTTCTGGTGAGGCATTATTGCAGAAATTTGCTGACTCCAAGCAGTGAAAGTGAATTGTAATTGAAAAGCACAAGGCAGGGGATGGATACAAGAAGACTTCCAAGTCATTGAATATCCCTTGGAGTACACTTAAATCAACAATTAAGAAATGGAAAGATTATGGCACAGCTGTAAATCTACCTAGACCATCCTCAAAAACCAAGTGACCATGCAGGACTGGTGAGAGAGACCACCAAGAGACCAATGATTTAATATAATTGCCCAATGATAGACTGTGCATACAACAACTGTTGCCTGGGTGCTTCTCTACTTTTATGAGACAGAGCCAAAGATAAAGCTACTGTACAAAAAAATTGTGAAACGATATCTTGGTTGCAGTTTGCCAGAAGGCATGTGGGAGATTCTCAAACCAGGTGGAAGACGGTTAAAATTACTCAATTTGTACGCTTACATGAAGGGGTGGATATGCATTTAAAATAAATGCAATATATTTTGACCAAACAAACAAATGTTGCTATATGTAATATTAATTCTAAAATATTTTTATTTATTGTAGAAATAATATTTTTGCTGTGTTTTTATAAGCAAATATGTAAAAAAAAAAATAATATTAATATTATTACATAAAATAATAATTAAATCAAATAAAAAAATTATAAAATAAAATAATAATAATATACTTTTTATAGGCACTGTATTATCAATATCAGTGTTTGCAAGACAGCATTATATAATAATCTGCAATTTATGGCAGTGATGGCATTGTCGCAATATTTGTGGTTAGTCTTCTTTCCTGCGTTTATTCACCTACTGAATTCAGATTTTTCTTTCTTGCTATTTAACCATATTTAACACTATTTAACCACTTTTACAAACAGTGCCTTTAAAATGAGACGAGCACGAGAGTCACGAAAACAGCAAAAGCGTCTTTGATGCGACATTTCATTTATGGCAAATCTAAGCTTAAAACTTAAAACCCTATTTGTTTGCTGCCTTGCAAGAACTGCTATTTCCTTGAGGAAAGAAATTGTTATTCATGTTTTCTTATAATGCAATGCTTCATTCTAATGATACGCAGTTTTTAGTGTTTGATTTGTATCCTGAAACCTTGTGCAGGTGTGATTGTAGCGCACAGAGCTGGGTATAAAATGCTTTTAGCTGCCTTGTTTAAATCTGACATTGTTTCATAAAAACTCAAATATAAGCTGTTATATGTAAACCATTTCCATGTGCTTTTCTCCCTGTGAAATGTTACTTTTTAGCAGTCTTTCCTCTATCAGGAACATTACAGCAATACGCACTACATGAATGCAAAGAGACATTCTCTGATGTCCAGTCTTTGCACCTATAATTGCTCAGAGACAGACCTGCATGATTTTCTTGGCCTTAAAAATTATTCAGTGTTATGCTACCTACTAAACAGACCAAAGATGTTTTTTTTTCTTTAGTGCTTGATCACTGTGTTTTGCTCGTAAGAAACCGCAGCTATACGACTGTCAGAAAAGACAAATGATTGCACATGTATCTAACATGAACAAACTCCAAACAAACGCCTCACTTCTATTCTCAGATTTCCCATTACATTAAGAGTATGGATTGTTTTGCTCCATTAAACAATTAGATAGTAATATTATTCTCTGATTGAATTGTCTCGTCTTCTCAGAGAATGTTTCCAGAGACTTCACATACCAGACGGGGTCCTCTGCCGCACATTTCCCACCACAATCCCAAAAGAACAAAGGCCCGCTGGATTTTAGTGCTTAGTATAAATTTAATCTCCATCCATATCTATGGGTTATTGAAGTCAAAATCCCACACGCAATTTTAAAAGCTGTTCTTTCATAAAGTATCATGTTGTTCAGCTTTTCTCCAGGAATATCTGTGATTGATCACATTTCTTTTCTGATGCGAGCACCTTCACAGAATATGTTTTTTTGTCTTAATGTTTTTGCATTACTTCCTCTAGGCATTTCCAGGCGGTCTGTAACAGTTTTATTTATTAATCACAGTTTGACTCCCTAGGACGCCAGAGCCCTCATGTCACCCTCAGGCTGCTGAATGCTGTTTATTTTATATTTATTTTTTTTACTTGAAGTAATTTTCTTATTTGGTCTTGTTTGGTTGCAACAGTGGAATGTGCATGATGTTCTTTGGCCACGGTATCTCAGAGAACAGGATTTGTCCCGGTATTAAGTGTACTGCATACTCTGAGATCCGTCCAGAATGTTTTGGCTGACTAAACAAGAAATGATTTGTGATTTTTTTAGAAATGAATAGAAATTATTTTTGGATGGATGTCGCTATAATTTCATTTGTTTTAACTTACCTCATTAGCAACATGGTTGCTATTAGTAACTATAAGGATTAACTTAATTCTTATTTTATTTTTGTAATGGGCAAAGGCTATTTATTTATTTGTTTGTTTGTTTGTTTCAACCTAAAATTCAGTTTGTGGGTGCAAACTAATGACACACTGCATGATCTCCAGGTGAATCTGATGTAAACATGTCTAGAATCTTAGTTCACCCCAAATTCAAATATGCACACAATTAAAACAAATATGTACTTTCCATAAAGAAACTAATTTTATGGACCATTACGATTTTTTTTGTTTGCATTATAATATTATTTTAAGGACAATTAAGCACATTTCCCCACCAAAATTATTATTACTGTAATGCATCCAGATTTTTTTTTTCTCTTTGCAATTTTCATTATTCTCAAAGGTGAATCTCATTAGATTGCCATTACTGTAATACAGTATTTTTTATTATAGTATTTCTTTATTAAATCAGCATAAAGACAGCACAACAAATACTATTATAACTATTATACAAATCTGTGCATCATAAGCAATTACACTTACAATGTCATTATTTATAATGTAAAATATTATTAAAAAAAAATAAAAAATCACAATGGTCCTATATACAAATAGAATTTATTTTCTGCAAAATATATTTTATATTATGTCTTCTTTCTTTGTCATTGTTTTCTGTGTTCTGGACAGGTTTCTTGAGATTCATTCATATGCTAAACAGAGCTCCTGTAGAAAATAGTGACTTCCATGAAAAAGAACACAGTGCTCAGTGTCTCCTGGACATTGTGGCCACAGAATGGACACCATTAGTAGATCGATCATAATAAGACAAGAAGGAAATCTGAGAAATGTAGCTTTAGATTGTTGGAAATGTTGAAATGCTGAAGATGGCCTTCATGAGATAAAACTTCTGAAGACTGTCAAGATTCTGTTTAAATGTCTGTCTGCTTTCTGTCTTTCTGTCTGTCTGTCTGTCTCTCTTTTTCTTTATCTGGTGCTATGGAAGGATTTGGAAGGACAGTGTATTGGCCCGTACAAAACCATGACGATAAGAATTTCTCGAGAACTGAGCCTTAAAAAAAAAAAACCTTAATAGCAAAATATCCTTCTTGACTAGTAAATTAGTTGTTTAAGTTGTTTGGTTAACTTATATTTATAATGCATTACCATTTCAGCCAACAACAACAACAACAAAAAAAGATCTTTAAGATCTGAAATCTGAATGTAAAATCTTTAAAATCTGAATCTTTTTTTTTCTTTTTAATTGGCAGTTTTATGTTTACAGACCTGGAAGGCAGATGATCGACATAATGTATATTAGCATAGTAATTTATTAAAAGCAATTAAAAATATATTCAAAATTGCCAAATAACAATTATCTTACCGTTTACTCAGGATTCACTATAATCTTTTTAACCATTGACAAGTCAGTATATTTTGGAAGTGACACTGTTATTCAGTGGAACAGGCACAAAAAATGGTGAAAGAAAAAGAAAAAAAGAAGAAAAAACTACACTTGTAAATTAGAGATGAAAGATTCATTCTTTACTCACTGTTGTGTCATTCCAAACTGTTCCATTCCCATATGAATTCTGTGCAACACACACAAAAAAGTGAATTTTAAAGAACATTCTGGCCACTCATTTCAGTTTAATTAATGTGAAAGAAGTCAACTCTGATATGACAAATGTCCACCATAAATAGTATAATAAAAAGTGGTTCATATGATGTGTGCTATACCATATCTCAAGTCTTCTGATAGATTTGTGTGAGAAACAGACCAAAATATAAAGTTAATATTGTTTCAAATGTTACAAAGTTAACATACAGCATCATTGTAATTGCATGAAAAAGAGTGATATTATTCAAAAGTATGTGTTCCACGAAAAACATAAAGTCAGGTGTATTTGGAATGACATGACTGGGTGAGTAAATTGCTCTTTTTCATCAGGAAATCCTAAAGTAACCTTAGAAATGACAGACGCATGATTTTCAAAAGTAAAAAGCACCAGCCCGCCAATCTCCCGCTGCCACCCTGATCTGGACCGAAAGAAACATGAAAATATGTCCTTTTAAAAAGTAAGAATATGGAAATTGAAACCGCATACTGCCATAGCGGACTATTCGAGTGTTCATATAAAGCCTAGAAGGGCTGACAAGAACTCTGTGCTTGGAGAGGAACTGTAGAGTTGAGGAACAGCTTTATTTTTCTGGTTTTGAGTTTCCCTCCAGCACAACTTACCATCTGTCCACCTGGAATTCAGATTTCCCTGGTCGATGTCCCTGAGTTCTTATGAAAATCTATACGCCGCTATCTAGAATTCAGCCCGTGTATTTCCCCTCGACAACAGCAGATTGATTCGTCTTCAATGCCACATACACTGTCCTTCTGTACTGTGACAGAACACTCTTTAACCTTGCTCTCTTTCATGTGTTGAAGGTGTCTAACTGCGAGCATGATGGTGATCAGTCAGCTCAATCCCTACACCCTTCGCTTCGAGGCCACCTGGGAGACCACCTACGACAAGCGATCGGCCTCCAACGCTTTTATGATCTGCGGGGTTCTGTATGTGGTCCGATCCACGTATGAAGACAATGAGAGCGAAGTCAGTAAGAGCCTCATCGACCACATGTACAACACCAAACTGAACCGAGGCGAATACATCGACATCCACTTCCCCAACCAGTACCAGTACATCGCCGCTGTGGAATACAACCCTCGAGACAACCAGCTGTACGTGTGGAATAACTTCTACATCCTGCGGTACAATCTGGTGTTTGGTCCACCTGATCCAGCCCACGGTAAGCCTCATCTCGAATCCATCTAGCTGCACACACACACAGGGTCCCTCTGGATATCTGTTTAAGTGGTCGCGAGATTTCAGCCAGAGTTGGTATTCCTCTGGCACCCAAGTCTGTGTGTCAAATGTCATGGATGACTGATTTTTAATTTCAGATTTAATATGTGCTTGATGTATTCCGGAAACCTTTCTCGAGCGCAAGCAACATCTCAGAGTGAAGTGGTGGGTCTCAGCAGTAAACAACATCATAGGCGTTGTTAGCATATAATAAGAGACGCGTCCCTCGAGGTTTCAGAAGACAGAGACATCCCTCCCCAGTGTTTAGACTCTTGAGGCTAAACTCCCTCCCACTGCCCCACTGAGAAAGGTACCGCTTCCCTCATTGGTAGAGGGTTACCTGTCTGGACAGGTACGTAGGCAGCCTTGCGGCAACAGTGGATCACCCCCAAAAGAGTAGATCTCGTTCCCTAACCGCCTCAAAACAAACAACTTACGCTTTGCCTCGAATGCCTCTCAATGTGTCTGTGCTGAGAGACGGCTCTCCGTTGAGACCGGATCAGTCCCGAAGGTCACGTCAGCGTAGCCTGTTTTTAATTTCACTGTCAAGAGCTAGGACAGGATGGCCATAATATGTGTCAGATCATCTTTACATTGAAAAAATAATAACTGTAATTACCATAATCCCAGCTCAGCCTAGAGGCCAAGACTCTTGCATTACTCCAGAAAGACTTGGCTAAGTGTAGAGGTCAAACAACTTTACGCAGATTAGTGGGGCTTACAAATTTAAAATATTAGTGTATTTCTTCTGCGGAAACCCAGCGGGGTCTACCTCACTCATGAATCTGCTTGTGCAGACATTGAGCTCTGTAACTGTACCCAGGGCCGTCATGAAACTGTACCCGTAATGAGTGTACTTAGGATAAAGTCGTTGAGGATAAAAGCATCCGCTAAATCAGGGGTTCCCAAAGTAGGGGTTGGGACCCCCAGGGGGTCGCGAAACCACGAGGAGGGGTCGCAAGATGATTTCCAGAAATCAAATAATTTTTTAAAGGATTAGAAATAGCATATTTTACCCATAAATAAAAAAATTACAAGTTGAATTAAAAATAAAACTCTGACGTGGAGTTTTGTACTCCAGCATGTTGCCCACCCAACTAATTAGGTAAGATTAATGTTGAAATGTAAGTAATGAGTAAATTACTATAAAATAATATTATTGTTGTTAGACTGTTGTGTTCCTTTGTGTTGTCATTATGATATAAGTGCATGTGCGCCATTGTGCAAAACTTTTGTATACTTTAACCACCTCAGAGGAAAGTGGGGGTCCCGAGGTACTGGCACTGTTATTTTGGGGGTCGTCGGCTGAAAAGTGTGGGAACCCCTGCGCTAAATGACAAGATAGTAGATTGTAAGATACAAATTATTTGTAGGCTGCTTATAGCATTCTAAAGCACCTCAAAGGCTACCTGTTATATTAATAACTAGCCATAGATATGGTTCTCATTTGAAGGCTGCAACCTTTTAAACTGGCTAAATTTCAAGGCAGCTTCACATATATCCTTCACAGAGAATGCAATCTCAGAATGCATTTTTTTTAAATCATCCTCAATAATAACTCACATCACTCATGAAGGTATCCATTATCACCGCACGTGTGCATTAACTCTCCGCCCACCCTGCTTCTGATGACGTCGCTCTGATTTTTTTTTTCCTCTTTATTTCAAATGACCGACTCACACTTTTCTCATCCTAGTTTTACAAGTTGAAAGTAATAAAACAACACATGCACAGCGCTGACTGACTAATAACGGCCGGGTGTTCTCCGAGTCCGATCGACTCGGGTATTACACACAATGTTAAACAGACCCGGGACCCGAAGTAACAGATTGGGACCCGACCCGGACCCGGCTGACCATTTAAAATACAACCCCGAACCCGTACGGATCCCGGGTCGGGTCCCGGGTCCTCGGGTCTCGGGTTCTCCGTGTAGACCTCTACTGCAAGGCAGCGCGCTAGCTTTTGGAACGGAGCCAAAACACCTCTCCGAAGGCTGTCTATGACATTCATTATTTTTGAGATCAGGACAGAATCATCCGAGTCATTCTTAGCATGTGCTAGCAGCTTTCCTTTAGCCTGAAGCGATTACCGCCACTGAATTAAAACCATGGAGCAAATTCATCCCTGCACAAGCAAGCAATTAAGTAAGAAATATCAACTCAATATCACTTCAGTTGCAAAGTATTAGGACTCAGATCTGAAATTCATTGAACATTTCTCTGGGGTGTTACCTCGGAGGGTTCAAATCTTTCATTAAGGAAATGTTATCACATTGTTACCACAATGTATCCACTTGTGGTTCACACTTATACGATGTGGCTGATTGAATGTGCCCGTGTATGTTCTGCCTCTCTTTTAGCCGCCTGTAAAGGAAGTAATTAGCTCTACAATCAGTGCTGATGAAGGACAAAAACATGCTAATTTCACTAGCTTTAGCTCCTGTGCAGTGCACGAGTTGAATGATACCCCCATCCCCACTTGAATCTAATCTGCCATCATTTGTATACTGATGTGATTTCTCTGTTTTAGATGTGGTGATTATCTCATCAGCTCAATAATCAGCTCACTCACACTGCCGTCAGAGTTGTGCTCCGTAGAGTTGATGTTTGCTCCACTTTACTTTGATAGCTGTGAAATTACCTTGATTCTGAGACACTGGAACAACGGACCACTAGAGTATGTGAGATATGATAAGCCCCTGGGAAGAAATCCCTCCCCTTTAAGTCAGAGGCCAAAAAAAAAAAAAAAAAACCTCTTCAGGGATGGAGCAATTACGAGATTAACTGTTAAGATATTTTGGCAAATCACGTGACCTGCAGTCATTTTTATGTGCTGTATAGTGGCAAGTTAATCATTAACAGTTGAAACCACAATAAGAGACTAGATAAAACTATAGAAAAACAATAAGTAAAGACTCAGATGTCAGATTTATATCAGATCAGATTATATCACAATAACCAATTATTGTTCAGAATTATTCAGAATAATTTAAATTAGAAATATACAGTTTTTCTAGTTTATTTGATGCAACTTGAGCAGAAATACGCCAGTATAACATTTGTAACTGTATCAATGACTGCAGTAAGTCAGTATTAACTGTGGCTGATTAATTGCTGCTGATACTGTTTGGCTTAATTAGAGATATTCATTTAGAAATTAAACTGTTAGTTTTGCTCAGACTGTAATAGTATGGGTGTAAATATTATTTTTTTTAACTAAAAGGTGACCTGCGACTGGAGACATAGAATTACATCACAGACATAAACAGGCCAGAAACTGTTTTTTAACAACATTTTATTGAATATTAAATTTTCAACAAAAGGGCATCAAAAGAAGCAATTTAGCCTTCAGAAAATGTTGTTCGGCAATCTCAAGCGATCAAACTAAATATAAAATATGCCATTTTTTTTCTGTTTACCTTCTATGAAATTTGAAGTTTTCAACTTGAATCAATGTTTTCTGGGAATAAATGTTGAAAAAATGTATAATACTTGATAGACTGTTCCTTTAATGTGGAATGCTGGCAAAATATATTAGTATGACATCTCATACGGATCCTAAATAGCATCAAATGCGCCATTTATTGAAAGAGAAAATGATTAAAACCAGCGGCATATTCATACTGGAATCATCTTTCATAATGGGGAATCATCTTGATGTGGAGGAGACAGACAGCATTTATATTTGCCATCTGAATCGGGGTGGAAAACACACATTACGCTGCTTGCCACTTAATCTAATTTTTGCTCATCATTAATGGAATTAGTTTGACACTGATTGTGATAATTGCCATGTGATATTACACTGCTGATGGTTAGCGAAATTTATGCAGAGCCTTCTCTGCTCCTGCCTGAAAAAAAAATATATATATAGAAAAATACTGTTTTGTGTTCAGAAGACCACTAATGGATTTGGCTTTATTTTAGTCTCGCTTCTACTGCCACTTGGAGAGACTGCTCAGTGGCCTCTATTTTTGTTAAAAGACCTCCCTTGAATTAAAAATTATTACAATTGCTAATGCTGCTACTACATAATTATTAGTTGCACTTTCTCACCTTTAATGTGAGTTTTATCTTCTCCCTTTGCCCACACGTTTCAATCTTTTCCTCTGTGTGCCGTTCTTTATCCCCTCCCCCAGCCCAACCGTTTATTCTATGACTCCCACAGTCATCCCTCATGTTACGGTGCTTCCCAATTGGAGGGATGTATCCTAGGGAGGCTGTGTCCTTCTTAGACCAGTCCCTCTAGGGCTATGCTTCTCAGCTTTAAATGATAGAATGAGACGGTCTAGTAAGTCCACATAGCAACAACATTAGAGTTTTTGGAATTCTGGTACTCAAACGTAAAAAAAAAAAAGACTTTTAGGGATAGTCCAAGGGTTCATTTAAAGTAATCATTTTTCAACAGTAAAAGTTTGTTGTTTCTAAAAAAACAAACAAACACCAAATTATGATTTACAGGGCTAGAGTTTCGAAAGCCTAATTTCCTTGCACAATATTATGTTATGGCCTCAAAACAATTTTACCATGCTGCGAGATTTGAACACTGATACTTTTGAATGTTAGCATCAGATATACAGATTCATATGTATGGGCTTTCTAACTCTGTGGGTTTGCTTGGTAGCTCACACGATATGGCTTTGCACTTGTGAGGTGAAGCGCTCCGGTACGAAATGATGGTTCGACAAAACAGCTCAAACCCATGTGTTAAAATAGCACGGTTTATAATCCCTTATAATCACTTCTGCTTTCATTAAAACTATCTGGTAGGTTTAGGGTTGGGTTTGGTGTAGGGGGTATATTATTTTCCAACATGATAGACCATTTTTGCGACACTCCTTGGACATTTCAATTCTGAACCACCACAATACGTACCTGGAGCAATGTAATTAAAATGCCGCAATGCTTGCCTCTACGTAATAAATATGTGGCCACGGTCATGTACTGAATGGGCGTTTGGACATTGTGTCACTGGACATTTCACTTTGAAACTGCCATGAAACGTGCAATAAGGTATGTAATGTCAGTATTGCAGAAAAGTCATCACAAGCACACGAGCCTGGGTTGTAGTTACATCCAAATGATGTTTGTGTTGTCTTGTTTTGCCTGCATTTTGAGGACGGGCCAATAACCCCAATGAAGAAAGTGGCTTAATAAACATACAAATGTCTAGTTTTAGAAAATTCTAAATGGTTTGGGTGAGGGGGATGTTTAGAAATCATCATTAGTTCGATGTAAAATCAGTAGAAGTCACTGGAAATTCTCCGCCATGCTAGAACTGGTACTTAGGTGCTTATTGCCACAATTTCATTTGAATATTTGGGTTGAAATTGTTCTCTGTTGCGAAGGTAATATTTCTTCTTTTTTGACATTGAACTGACGGTTCTTTTGAGCTTAATGCGAGTCAGACACATTTTCATTCCAGCACTACAGACGTACTTATCTTAAGAGAAACTGCCTTTGTTACAACAAAGAGAAAATTAATACTTCTACCCATAAATCAGATTGCAAAGGCATTCTGTAAAATAATAACAGACATCTAGGTGCTTTCAGTCTGAGAGTTACCGCCTGCATGTTCTGCATGTTTTTGAAGGACCATAATCTATAGTCGACACCAAATTATACGTAAAGTACAAAAGACAATAGTGTCAAAGTTTGAAAACACATCTTTCACAAAAGGGCCATGATATTAGGATGATTTTTTCCCCTAGCATATATTGTTATAGTAATACTATTGTTATGGTTTTCTGGACAAATTCCATTATTTTAATGTGCCGTAATACCATGCAAATAGAAAGGTATATGAATATGCTAGTCATTCAGTGCCACGGTATAAGGAAAGTACTTTGCAACAAAGTACCATCTGACCATCTTGCATTATTGACAAACTATTTTCTCTCTGTTTAACACTGTAAAGCTGCTTTGACACAACCAATATAAAGCACTATACAAATAAAGGTGACTTGACTTGATATCACCACTGTGCCATGCTATTCTTTTTTTTTCTTTCTTTCTTTTTTTGTGAAATTCTTTATAAAAACTAGTAGGAGCCTGTGTTAAAAATCCCTTTGCTTTGCTCAGATTTTTTTTTTCTCTCTACATAAAGGAGTGATAGATTTCTCAAAGACAATCAATTGACAATCAATTTACATTCTTAACCCCTTAACTGTCACTCACATTTTTGAACATAGACGTGAAAGTGCACGATCCAAACTTAAATTTTTATAATTCATGAACGAAAACATTTTGTAACATGACAAAATGTTGGCTCACATAACCTAAGTATGTGGCATTTGGATAATGTTACCCAATAGACAAATAGTTTGTATGCATTATTTTTAGCCTAGAGTTATAGTAAAATGGTTTGCGAATATGGTTTCCTTTTAATAATAATAATAATTATTCATTACATTTATATAGCGCTTTTTCTAGGTACTCAAAGCGCTTTACATTGTCAGGGGGTATCTCCTCATCCACCACCAGTGTGCAGCATCCACCTGGATGACCACCTTTTGACTTTAACAGGCTTCTCTCATCTGTGGTTTAAGTCTGGAACATTGAGCTAAAGCTTGTTTTTACAGCCATCATGACAAACAGACAGATTCTGGGAGTGAAAAGTCAATAATGGCACACCAGTCATGCCAACTCTGTCACAACTCACACACATGGGTGAAAACCGTAAAGATCGGGGTCTGCAGGTAAAGGCATTGCAGCTGTTTTTTGCTCAGTTTTTATCTGAACCAGAGCTCTGGCTGGTCAGTTGACACTAATTCACAGTAGGTCACATCTAACCTCAAAAAGAAAGTATTTTCTTTCACTCGATCGGTCTTTTCCCCCTCGCAAACATACATGGAGGCGCTCTCACACTCACACTTCTGTGGGACGCTTCATCGGTGAGTTTCTTGGCTGCATGCTGTCGTTCACAGAATCTGGTTAGCCGGTGAAAGCAGCGGGTGAAGTTCAGAGGGATTTATGGATTTATCCATATTTGTGGTTGGAGGTATGAGGTCAGGTATATCACTGTTACCTTGTAAAGGAAGAACCGATGCAAACTGCAAAGAAGTTTGAGTTATCTGAGACTCAAACCCCTTTACGTATGAATCTCTTTCTGATTATCATAATGTAACTTCCTAGCTAGGAAAAAGACGCATATTTTCCAGTGTAAAGTGTGGCCTGCAATATTTGCTCAGTTTACGCTGATATATGTACCATATTTTTCTTGCCTGAGGAATTACGTTAGTTATATATAAAGATTATGAAATATAGACACAGGAACAAAGAAACTGAAGGTGAGAGAAAAAAAATATGTTCAAAAACTATGTGATTCAGCTCTTTAATAAGCTTTTGAGATATAATAGAGCTTGAGGTCTTGTATGCAAGCTGATTTATTATTTTTTTTTTATCTTTTATCTTTTATTAAGCACTATGCAAGCTTGATAACAAAACCGGTACCCAAAACAGGACATAATTCATGCAACAACTAATTTTACCCATTATTCTTTTTAGCACCACCTATCTCAGAGGCATCCACAGCACCCAAGTTACTAAAACCAACAACCACTACAACAACCACTACTCAGCCGAGAGGTCAGGTGACTACTGTTACCACTACAGGGACCAGAGCTGTTAATAAGACACCCAAATCACCAGCTGTACTTCCCCAAACCACCACACCACCCTCACTGGAGTCTTTCCCTCCACCTGAGCGCTTCTGTGAGAGCGTAGAGCTCAGGGACATACTGTGGCCGCAGACGCAGAGGGGCATGCTGGTGGAACGACCCTGCCCCAAAGGAACTCGAGGTGGGTGCATGTACCTGTTGAAGTGTAACATGCTGCAGTTTTCCACTCAGAGCTCTTTGAATTGCTAGGCAACGAGAAATGTGTCTGTTCTCTTAGAATCAACTTCATCACCATTTGAATAAAGCCATGAGAGGCCATGCGTTGCAGTGATTTTACCACATTTAGTGTTAGTCTTGTTAACAAAGGTGCTTACTACTAGTAATAACATATAATTTGTTATTAATAATTAACAATTATTGTATGTATTTATTTGCTAAGTAGTCAGATGGTCCTTATTGGCTTTTGTACTGCAAATCATAAAGATCAAACAATACTTTATTCAGGTGCTTTATTGTCATAATAAATATTGGTTACACTTTATTTGTGTTACAGTGTAATTATACATTTAAGTACTAAGTGATATTAATTAACAACATGCACTTACTATAATGTTAGGTTTAGGATGAGGGTTTGCTTTAGGGTTAGTTGCATGTAATTTAAAAAAAAAAATGTTATTACTGTAGTAAGTACATGTAACGTGTGTAACAATGACACTTGTTATAAAATATAAAATAAGGTGTTTGTACATTGTAAAATATTGTATTGTATATTGTATATTTGCATTGCCAAAGCATTTGCAGCATTGATGCATACAATTAAAACTTGCAAAACGAGTATAGTACAAAACAACATAAAGGAAGAAAAAAAAATAATTGACAAAAAAATGGCATTAAAGACAAATTTACAAGTAAAAGTTAATGAATGTAATTATAATTATAATTAAATATGAAAGAACATTAATAAATTGTGCTGGAGACACAGACTGGAGTCATATCACTCAATGGCTCTCATATTATGACAGACAATCCATATAATAATAATAATAATAATGTCCTTATTTAAACAGGCACTGCCTCCTACCTATGCGTTCTCTCCACTGGGACCTGGAACCCAAAAGGCCCAGATCTGAGCAACTGTACGTCCCACTGGGTGAATCAAGTCGCTCAAAAGGTTTGTAGTTCCAGAATATTTCTGTCCTCGCAGAACGAGGAGCAAAAAAAATGTGGCAGTTTTCAGAGCATAACATCATAAAAATAAAATACTCTCTGGTGCCATATTTTGGAGCTCATTCCTTCTGTTATCACTTGTTAAGATGAAGACACGAAGCCTTCAAACATCCAGTAGGGATCTTACAGATTGATCTTGTGCTCTTTTCAGTGTGCACTTTTGCGTTAATGTGAGATGCTTCCTGTAAATAGAATGGATGTGCACAATGGGACACCAAACTTCCTACAGTACACCCACAAAAATGAACGAAAGTAGAAGAAAAGCTTCGGCCATTGAAACCCTGGAAGTACTTCCAAATGCTCTTCTAAAGTGCTACCAGTTTCTAATGATAGCTGTAATTGCTCACGAGGGCTGTTGCCGACTCAGCGTTATGATGTCATAATGGGAGTCAAGAGCCTCGTAGATACAAAATGATATTTTTCAGAGCCATGCTGTGAGGTTAATTTGTGTAATCTCTCAGATCCGGAGCGGGGAAAACGCAGCCAACCTGGCGAACGAGCTGGCCAAACATACCAAAGGAGCCATCTTTGCCGGTGACATTAGCTCTACCATGAGGCTCATGGAGCAGCTGGTGGATATTCTAGATGCTCAGTTACAGGAACTGCGACCCAGCGAGAAAGACTCCACCGGCCGCAGCTTCAATAAGGTATTAACGGGATTTCATTCTCAACATGATTCTTTAATAAGCAGCAGCATGCCTTGGACGTTTCAGGTCACTTTGCTTAAAGAAGACTTGCTTCATAAGAATGTTAAACGGCATCAAACTCATTGTGTTACACCCCATCGTGCTTTTAGAGAATTGAAAATAGTATAAATGCACAGACTGGAGTGAATCACTGTGGGTTTTGCCTACTATCCCAAGATGCTTGGATGATGTACTTTGTCAGGTGTGCATCTGTACATGCATTTTCAGGTAATATAACTTATTGTGCAATGGATGAGGACATTTAGTTGTAGAAAAGCTGCCACAGCAGTTTTTTTTTAAATGCATGGATGTAAATGTATGACAAAGTTGAAATGAAAGAACGATTAAGAAATAAGGAATATCTAGGTAATTATTTAGATGCAAATATAAATGGTACTTGACAAAGGAGCCTGTGGTATCACAACAAGGTAATACATCCCAGTATTAGTGCACACTCATACTTTCTCTAGAATAGTACATATTTCACTGCATTTTACAAGTATGCAAATTACAACGCACTCACAGTGCTCTCTGAAAATAGGTCACATGGAGATGAATGAAGCCAGTTATCAGTCTACAAAAATGATTAGCTGCTTTTATATAAATCCTATGCATTGCATTTAAATGCATATGAGAGACTGCTTTATGCACTCAAATGCATCCTAACCCTTCCGGTTACAACTGGCCGTTATGTAACATTTACTTCAAGCATTAGGAATCTTGAGGGCATACATTCATCAAACATGAGCTTTTTCTTTTTATATATCGGCTCTATTCAGCATTTTATACGGCTGCTGAACTTATATGTATCTGAATTCACTTGGTGGGCTAGAACATTAGTTGTTAAAGACATAGTTCAATCAAATTTAAAACTCAGTCATGTCTTACTCATAAAACCCATAGGACTTTTACAAATACAGATATTTTAAACGACACCTGAGCAGTGTTAATTTTGACAGGCATTTTTTATTTAGTCTTAGTCTTTATCTTGAGACGAAAATGCTTAATAGTCTTAGTCACATTTTAGTCATTTGAGTCTTTCATAGTTTTAGTCGACAAAAAGTCATTGCATTTTTGTCAACTTTTAGTCATTACTTTTAGTCTTTTAGTCATAACATTTATTTTGGTAGCTATTTTATATGTAGTCTTCAAACAAAAATAGTCATTAATTCTTCTCTCTTTAGACCAAATCAATTAAGCTTATGAGAAATTTGAATCAAGGATTGGAAAAACTTGAATAAATGATGACAATTTTAATTTTTCTGTGAACTATCCTTTAACAGTAGTGAAAAGGGAGCAATTTATAAAAATTATAGTTGTTCATATATAATATATATATATAATTTATCATATTTATAATTTTTGAAAAAGAAGCAGAATAAGGCAATAAGACAAATACGGAAGATATACAAATTAAACTCATTTTTCAGATACAGTAGGTTTACTTAACATATGTATTTAACATGTGTTGGTTAACATTAATGACACGTATAGGTACTTAATTAGGAATGCTGTCCCTTTAAGACGGAAGTCATGTATGTAATACTGACACACGTTCAGTTTTCACCCACCTGTTTACGTTCACTTAATCCATAAACGACTGTATTTACGTGAGATACTCTGCACGATAGACATTTGGCCTGCTGTGTGTGTATTTGAGCACTGAGAACTGATCGCGCGCTGTATATGAGAACTGAAGAAGCGGAGTGTGCGCGAGAGAGAGCACTTCTATCAGCACGATTCCGCCTATACCGCCTTCACTAACTTTAAGTTAATCGACAACGAATTGTGACTCCCGGGAAACACAGGATGTCTGGTCACCTTATCCCTAACCCTTGGGGTGCTGAGGCCATTGTTTCAGATCGCTAGTTCGCGTTATGGTAGCCTATCCATGCACTGCGGCTGCCATACTGAGACTAGATATGCAAACGCCCTTTATCCGACTGCAATCCAATGACAGGGATGCACATTTTGAAGGACAAGACAGTAGCCTATAGGATGTATTTTGAATGTCCGGTAGTCCTCAAATAACATTATAGTCCCGTCTCGTCTTGTTAACGAAGACGCGGCATAAATTTCATCATAGTTTTTATCATCAGATATTAGTTTTAGCTCGTCAACATCTCGTCTTAGTCACAGAAAAAGTCCATTCAACCTACTCTTCGATGCTTGAAAAAAGTAGACTTTGTAGAAGTAATACATATGAATCAAGTGGTTTATTCTAAATCTTCTGAGGGTACATGGTATGTTGAATTAATTTAGGCTTTTATTCACATATACACATTGATCAACGCATATAAATAGAGCACATCACATACGGCCAAAGGCAGCTCTGCATGCTTGATGTGCAAGAACAAACCTCATTGAGCTTTTTTTATTATGTTTGATGTGGTCTATGCATCTGTTCATCATATAAAGTGATCATGTTCCTTCAGAAGACTTGGATTAAACTTTAATTCAGTATGTTGTTGTTATGAACTTTTTGAAGCTTCAAAGTTTTGGTTGAATAGACTGTCAATGGAGGGACAGAAATGTCTCAGGTTTTATAAAAAAAAAAAATCTTCATTTGTGTTTTGAACAAAAGTCTTATGGATTTGGAACCACATGAGGGTGGGTAAATGATAACAGAATTTTCATTTTTCAATTTTTTCAATCATTTTTGGTTGAACTATCCTTTTTAGTCACAGAGCTTGAAGGGCATATTCAAAGTATTTGAAGTAACATTCATTTAGTTAAAGACCGTAACCTCTTTGTCAGCTCTTGTGTTGTCTGTATGGCTTTTTGTGCGTTTCAATCATTAAAGTCAAAGAAGTGGGTGGATATCTGTGAACTCAGATGGCTGGAGCACAGGCTGTACTCACTAAGAGTGAAGCCTTTCTTTCAAATGAATTTCGTAGTTACAGGCCAGTGGAAGGGAGTGAAGGCACACTAGCCTGATTACAAAGAGTATGGATCCCCCAGTGCACTATAGCAAGAATGTCATTTGTCTCATGGGAGCCACGTGGACAACGGCCAGTGTAATTTACATGAACACTACATGTTCCAGGACCAACATCCTTAGTTTAAACATTTACTCTATTACTCTAGACCAGGGGTAGGCAAGTTCGGTCCTAGAGAGCCGCAGTCCTGCAGAGTTCAGCTCCAACCCTGAAAAACAAAACTCACCTGCCTATAGCCTTAGTAATCCTGAAGACATTGATTAGCTTGTTCAGGTGTGTTTGATTAGGGTTGGAGCTGAACTCTGCAGCACTGCGGCTCTCTAGGACCGAACTTGCCTACCCCTGCTCTAGACCTTAATACCAAACTCAAAATTCTAAATCAAGGATTTATTTCTCTTGACCCCGCACTCCTTCAGTGAACCATGGCCCTAACCCCTATTTCTGATGTTAACCCCTTACCCCAGCCCCTAATTTCCTATGATAAATCTTAACTCCAAGACTAACATCAACCTTAAAATATTAACCCTAAACTTTACTTTTGACTTGAAATCCCAACCCCACTCCTTCATCTGGTACAAACACACAAATCCAGATCCTATAGAAGAAAATCTTCACTTTGATTTGGACATCCATTGATTTGGCATCACAATTCAGAAACTTTTATCCCAAATCATCAAATCTAAATCTGACCCCAAAATCCTACATTTAACCTGGATCCCAACCTTTAGCTCTCAGTTTCCTTCTCTAAATATTTACCTCAACCATTATTCCTAAACCACACCTCTACACGTAATCTCCAACCCTATCCAACCCCTTCTCTTAGTTCAGCTTCCAAATCAAATCCTCAAACCCCAACCATGATCTTGATCCTATAGAGGTAAACCACACATTGATTTAGACTCTAGGTCTTCAACCCTGTTCCTGCAATGATTATTTCCAACCTGCTCCAGTTTCCCTGGCCTGTGATTTTTCAAGTGATCCTGAAGAGCTTGGTTAGTTGGTTCAGGTGTATTTGCTAAACTCTGCAGGACAGTGGGTCTCCAGGAGCAGGGTTGGGGAACTAGGATTTAGACAGTTTGTGTCTACTTATTGTTTTGCATTTGTTTAATTTGCATTTTACTCACAATTTGGAAACCCAACTTGTATCCCCAAATTTGATCCCCAATCTCCGTTCCTGAATCTTTTTCCTGACCCTAATCTAATCTGAATCCCAACTTTTAACCCTAACCCAGCACCCAGTTGCTTACCCTAAATCTTTATCTTAGCCATTATTCCTAAACCTCACCTTTACACCTAATCTCCAACCCCTTCTCTTAGTCCAGCTTCCAACTCCAATCCCCAACCCTGATCTTGATCCCATAGAGGTAAACCACACACTGATTTAGACAGTCTGCATCTGAATATTGTTTTGCATATGTTTCATTTGCATATTTCAGATGGTAATAAGTTACTGATTCTATTTTTACTTGAAAGAGCACCTGAGGGTTTTAAAATCACCAGACTAAATTGTTGTTCTGAAAGCAAGGCCACTCTGTGCACCCCTACATTCATCCGTTACATGATTTCATCATAGCAGATCCCACTGCTATACTGTGTTTCTGAAGTGCTTGTGGATTGGAGAACCCATTAGTACACCATCAACCTTTCTAACTGTGTTTCTTTGGTCTGTTTTTGTTCTTGTGTGTGTCCTCTTTCAAATGAAAAAGCTTCAAAAGCGAGAAAGGACATGCAGGGCGTATATGAAGGTATATCTCTGCTACGCTACTATGCTCTTCACTTTTTTCTGTACTTTCTCTTCTTTTCCTGCTATTGTTTCTCAGCATGGTCCTGTGTCTTTCATTCTCACTGTCGCCACAGCATTTCACTCCGCCTGTGTCCTCATTCCCAGAGGTTCAATATTTCAGTGAATTGGAAATTGTGTGGCTGCAATTTTTATGCCCAATTCATACCTTTTATGTGTTTGTTGGTGGTCTGTTTATTTATTTATTTTTTTCAGTTTCGTTATTGCTAAAGTCATGTGTTAATATCTGTTGACATGTGCTTGAGTTGCAGGTTGGCGGTGCATGTGTTGTTGTTGCGCTCAACTTGTTCTTAAAGGGTAGATGTCAATTTGTGGTGCTTGAAATCTATTGATTGCTACATTGGTTTTGCCACAGCAGTTTGAACTGCTAAAATATTTTAGACCTAGCAAAAATTATAAAAAAATAAGTATGACAGGAGAGATTATGTAGAGATCACATGAAAGGCAGCATTCTGTTTTGGAAAGGCAACTCAGTATAAAATAAATGTGAAACCCTCGACTATGAAGATGCATATATCATCTTTTAAATGACCAAAAAAAATTAGGAAATTAGAGCCCATATGAGAAAGAGACGGCAAAACCAATCGGATGAGCAATAATTATCAAAGGAGGCGACAAGTATGAATCAATATTTTAGTCTGGTGGTGTGCGTGTGCACAGTAGCTCTGAATGAATAGTATAAGAGTGTAAGTTTGTAAGGTAAAACATTTCCAAAATGTGAGTCTGTTTGTAGAAGTAGGATTTTAAAGTTGTATTCTCAAATGTAACATCCCTTTGTAGAAAACTACTGCATTTTTGGAATTCTCCAACAGTATTAACAGGTGGCGTTTTTTTTTTCTCTCAATTTTGTGCATCATATTATCAAGACCTAGAGACATTACAATACATGTGTTTTCATACTGAAAGCAGGATCAAATGGATGATATTGGAAATAGTGGTCTGCACCTTCAGTTTTGACGACACAGAACAATGGTGTCTTTATCTTAAAGGACGCTTTGCATTTATAAGGCGTCATGACCGGCTGTCTTTCTTTACCTCATATGTGTCCGTTTACGTGCTTGAAGAGCCTTTGACATTCAATACTGCACTCTTGAGACAGACCGAGCATGTCGGGCTCATTTCTGCAGCCTGTTTTTATGTGTGTCACCTGATAATGACCTAAAACAAAGTGTGCATGTTTGCTTTTATTTGGGCACGGCCAGACAGCTGCTGATAAAGTCAAGGCTTTGACATTTGACATTACTACAGTGGTTAGTGCTGACACAAGCGTCTCATTGGGCTGCAGGCTATCGTGGATACAGTCGACAACCTCCTCAGACCGGAGGCTCTGAAATCATGGCGAGATATGAATACCACGGAGCAGACGCACGCCGCAACTATGTTACTGGACACCCTGGAGGAAGGAGCCTTTGTCCTTGCTGACAATTTAATGGAACCGGCCATCGTGAAAGTACCAGCCAGTAATATAAGTGAGTTCGAGCAATGCGCAAAACTAATAGAACTGACAACGTAAACAGTGTATTTTGCAGCTGATCAGTTTGAGTTTGCAAATATGTTTCAGCTGTGAAATTTTAATAACAGTGGCCACTAACACATGGGTGGTTGACATAAAATACTTTTGGGAAGTTGACATGTACTGCAGTGTGGCATGCTAACTCCGTCTTGTACTATTTTAAACAGCATTTTTCCTAATCCTTTTATTACTGTTATGCATGCAGCTTTTACGACCTCATATTAATTGAGACTCTACATGGAATATTTCTACTCCATTCATTTGCCACACCGCAGGACCTTTTAAAATGAAGTGAAGGCAAAAATGCGATTAAAAATAGTGAATAAAGAAATTTTGACCAGTTACAGGGCCTAATGTTTACACTCTCCTGTATAAATGTTTATATTTTGCATACCGTCGATAATACAAAGTCCAAAAACCCACAAATGATCAGTTGAATTCTGGCCTAATAGGTCATGGAGTGAATTCACTAAACGTGTAGCATATTTTCACATTGTTTCGTGCAAACATACTGTATCTCTTTTCTATATATTGTGCCTTATTTAGAAAACTTATTTTCAGATTAAAAATTGCAATTTTGTTAATCATGACAGCACTTATGCATCAGATGATGGATAAGATTTTTATATCCAGAACTGTAGTGTAGACAAGCACACTTTACACATTTTAAACTGCTAGTAAAGTAAGCCATATTGCTGTGGTCTGCTACATCCGCTACAACCTAGCACTTAAAAATTCAGAATAGCGTTATGCAAATTGCGTTCAGCACAGATTTTGTGGGTGTGTTTTCACCGCTAATTGATTTGCATAATTCCTTTAGTGAACTGAACAACGTTAGATGCATGCAAATAAACCGCAATTCATTCTCAGTGAATCCCCCCATATTTTTTATTTATTTTTATTTTTTTCTCTGTTTCTGCTTGAACTAACATTGTGAAACATCGGATTTCTCTCTGCAGTTCTGGATGTTTACGTGCTGAGCACAGATGGGCAGGTTCAAGATTTCAGGTTTCCCCAGAGCGGCAGGGGTGGTATTTCTATCCAGCTGTCTTCCAATACGGTGAAACTCAACAGTCGTAATGGTACGTTCCAGACCACATGCAAACTCACTCATATACGTTCATTCGTATCAATTCCAGTGAGAATAACTACATATAAGATCCAATCGCTCCTGTCACTATGGAGATACAAATGCTCTAATGGTCAGAAACATATCTGAACATTGATGTGAACATACTGCTCAACATATGTTGTTTTCGACAATCAAAACTTGGTCTGCTGCAGGGTCACTTGGGAATAAAATGCACGTACTAAAATTAGGAACGTTTGTGGGGTATATACATTTATTTATGAGATTATCATGTTTTTTGATGTACAGTATGTGGGTGAATGTCAGATTTAAGATGATTAAAATTGTACTTTACAAACTATTTTAATGATAAATCATTGCGGTTTTGTTGTCAAAAAAAAAATGTCGCAAAATCCTAGTCTTAATAGACTTCCTTTTAATTGCGCAAAACGTAATTTCTTATTTTCCTCTATTAACTATGAGGTGAAATAACACCCAGACATGTTCTTGACAGTTTTTGTGAGACTCGCTGACATAATGGTCTTTAATGAGAAGTAAGGTGTGACGTTTTCTCTTCGCAGGTGTTGCCAAGTTGGTTTTTGCCCTTTATAAGAACCTGGGGCAGTTTCTAAGCACGGAGAATGCGACGATGAAGCTCGGCCACGAAGCTAACGGACGCAACCTCTCCGTGGCTGTGAATTCCGACGTCATTGCCGCCTCAATAAACAAAGAATCCAGTCGTGTATTTATATCGGAGCCTGTGATTTTCACCCTGGAGCACATCGACGTGAGTGCAAGCAATAAACAAACAAAGGGATCGTAAAAGCAGCGGGATAGCAAAGCAAGACGGCGAAGAAAATAAAATAAAAGCAGTCTCAATTCAAACAGCCTACAAGGTCACAGAGGGGTTTATTTAAGCCATCGAACATGAAATTAACAAAGTCTGAACCAATGATTATTACCAGCCTAGACCAAATTCTTAATGAAAACTAATTCGTTTGTCGACATTAGGATGTAAATGATGCAATTTCCTTTTTTTGGAGTGGAAAATTAACTCCCAGATTAGCTATACAATGCAGGATGAAATTACCAGAGGACCAATTATCATCTCGCTCTCTTTTAAAGTGTCAGGAGTGCTCCCAGAGGAGACCGGGCTTGATTTTTGCTCTCTATCAAAGTAATTGTGTGATTTCCACAGACATGCCTTCAAACCATTCTGCCCCCTGTTAGCACCTCATATAATCAATGGTCCCATGCTAGATTTCGCAGTCATTTAACCTTATTAGATTCTTTAGTCGTTTATGTGAGAACACACACTGTGCATTCAAAAGAGTGTTTGATATGGCCAGCGTATCATTTGTGAAAGAGTGAATGCCAACAGTCGGAGTGAATTACGATGCCGTTTATTATACGTTCATCATCGGAGAGATGGCTACTAAATATCAATTCATTATCGTCTGCTAACTCATGAGGAATGTTTCTGTCTCCTCCTGTCGATTCCAGATGCAACATTACTATAACTCCAACTGCTCTTTCTGGAACTACTCCGAGAGAACCATGATGGGATACTGGTCCACTCAGGGCTGCAAACTCATCCACGCCAATAAAAGTCACACCACCTGCTCCTGTAGTCATCTCACCAACTTTGCGGTGCTCATGGCTCATCGAGAGCTGCTGGTAAGATGCGATCTTCATAAATATTTAAGCTTTTGTCCGTGCGTTACTGTGAAACCTAGCTGTTATAATAGATGCCGCCAACACTCATCTGCTTCTCTAAGCCAAACGCTGCCAACTGATAACTCACTGGATTGCAGACGGCTACAAATCGGCCTGTTTTAGGCCCTGTCCACATGAACGTGGTTATTTTTAAAACCACAGCTTTTTCTACGCGGTTTGGCCATTCGTCCACACGCAAACGCAGCACCAGTCACTGAAACTGAATATTTTTGAAAACGCCTGCCAGGGTGAAGATTTTCAAAAACTCCGGTTGCAGTGTTATCGTGTAGACAGCGAAACCGGAGTTTTTGGCTTGTGACGTCGGAGCCTGCGCTGTTATCTCCGCCTACTGGAGACTTTTTCAGGCTTCTGATTGGCCAACATGGCTTTATGGTTGAGATTATATCGCCACCTGTTGGTTTGGCATGCTCTTGACAGTGTTTCATAGGATACGTTTGCGTTTTCATGTGGACGGAGATTTTTTTAAAAACGGAAGAATGAAAAACTAAATTTATAAAAATACCCGTGTACGTGTGGACATGGCCTTAGTCTACTTTTAATAATAGCAAAAGTTTCTTCAAACAAAAACAGTTAGAATTAAACTGTCTGTTTAAAGCTGAAATGTCTGTGCCACTAGTGTTACCAAATTGAATTGCAAAAACATAACCACAAACAAATTTGATCTAATTGGCACATGTGCTGTGTCTTGCTAAATTTTGGATTTCAATCTGGACAAAAAAAAAATTACTTGTTGCATATTCCTTGCAATAGAGCAAGGGAAATACTATTTTTTTCCTCCATTAGATCCCTTCTATAATCTACTCAGTTGTGATCTGCATCAACATTTTCTCCCTCCATCTCTATACGTTTGTGTCTCAGGGTGCAGATAAAGTCCAGGAGCTGTTGTTGAGCGTCATCAGTCGTGTGGGAATCGTGGTATCCCTCATCTGTCTGGCCATGAGCATCTTCACCTTTTGTTTCTTCCGTGGGCTGCAGAGTGACAGGAACACAATCCATAAGAACCTGTGCATCAACCTTTTCATCGCTGAGCTCATCTTCCTCATCGGAATCGACATGACGGAGCCCAGGGTAACGTTACCTTGAATGGATGTGATGTTTTCAGCTAGTCTCATGGAAATGTCTAGAGACGTGTCCACAACATCCAAGACAAATTTTTGAAGGGAGTTCCAGTGAGTTCGAGCTGCATTTTGACACATGATTATAGCTTTTCAGGATTACTGGATTTTTGTCAGTAACTTGATGCTTTTTGTCCGGAATTTATTTAAAGAAATGCATTTCAAATTAATGTGTTTTATTTTTTTTTATTATTCATTATTATTTTTATCTAAATATATTTTAATATATATTTTGTTATGGTTGAACTTAAAAATGCCAAGGTTGTTCAACTTTTAGTAAAAAAAAGGATGTCGTTATATTACTGAAAAACTACCTTATAGTTTTTGACTACTACTGATATGAAGAAAAAAAATGTTTGTTGAGCATTTTATTTCCAAAGGCCTGGAAAGGCTTTACACTTTTTGTTGGGACATGACTGTGGGGATTTTCTCCCATTCAGACACAAGGGCATCAGAGATGGGGCCTGGCTCGTTGTTCCAGTTCATCCCAAATGTGTTCAGTGGGGTTCAGGTCTGGGCTTTGTGTAAGCCAGTCAAGATCTTCCACACCAGTAAACCATTTCTTTACAGACTTCGCTTTGTACACAAGAGGCATTATCATGCTGAAACAGAAAAGGCCCTCCCCAAACTGTTGCCAAAAAAGTTGGAAGCACACAATTCTCTAGACTGTTGTTTTATGCCGAAGCATTAAGATTCGTCTTTGCTGGACTTAAGAGGCCCAGCCAAAGCCATTAATTAGAAAAGGGTCCACATACTCTTGGCTACGTACTGCAAAACTACACTACCTGACATTTTTAGAGCCGTTAAATCAAAACTTTTGTTGAAAAGATGTTATAAAAAAAATTTAGAAACCCACATAAATACAAAGTTTGTTTGTTTATTTATTTATAATTTTTTTTTACTTTGTAAATTAACAGATAGAGTCAGTAACTTGACATTTTTTGTGTGTATAATTTATGAAATAAAATGAACATATTTTAACCTTTTATATAGTGAACACATTTTAAATGTTTCAATTTAAATCAAACTAGATAATGTCAAAATGTTGTTTAACTGTCCTTGGTTAGTAAAAACTGTAAAAAAAAAAATAATAATGTTAGTAATAAATAAATGTCATTAAATTGCTGAAAGTTATCAAATTGTCATTAAATTGCTGAAAGAAATAAAACAGAATTAAAAAGCTAAAAAAACAGACATTAAAAAAATTAAATTAAATTAAATTAAATTAAATTTGTTTTTAACTTGGTATGTACACAACCAAGTTTCAACTTTATTTGTCTTTGATCCTTTTTGTCCCACAGATGGCCTGCTCCATAATTGCAGGAATCCTGCATTACTTTTTTCTGGCATCTTTCGCATGGATGTGTTTGGAAGGGGTTCAGCTCTATCTGATGCTGGTGGAGGTCTTTCTTCCACACCAGTAAACCATTTCTTTACAGACTTCGCTTTGTACACAAGAGGCATTATCATGCTGAAACAGAAAAGGCCCTCCCCAAACTGTTGCCAAAAAAGTTGGAAGCACACAATTCTCTAGACTGTTGTTTTATGCCGAAGCATTAAGATTCGTCTTTGCTGGACTTAAGAGGCCCAGCCAAAGCCATTAATTAGAAAAGGGTCCACATACTCTTGGCTACGTACTGCAAAACTACACTACCTGACATTTTTAGAGCCGTTAAATCAAAACTTTTGTTGAAAAGATGTTATAAAAAAAATTTAGAAACCCACATAAATACAAAGTTTGTTTGTTTATTTATTTATAATTTTTTTTTACTTTGTAAATTAACAGATAGAGTCAGTAACTTGACATTTTTTGTGTGTATAATTTATGAAATAAAATGAACATATTTTAACCTTTTATATAGTGAACACATTTTAAATGTTTCAATTTAAATCAAACTAGATAATGTCAAAATGTTGTTTAACTGTCCTTGGTTAGTAAAAACTGTAAAAAAAAAAATAATAATGTTAGTAATAAATAAATGTCATTAAATTGCTGAAAGTTATCAAATTGTCATTAAATTGCTGAAAGAAATAAAACAGAATTAAAAAGTTAAAAAAACAGACATTAAAAAAATTAAATTAAATTAAATTAAATTAAATTTGTTTTTAACTTGGTATGTACACAACCAAGTTTCAACTTTATTTGTCTTTGATCCTTTTGTCCCACAGATGGCCTGCTCCATAATTGCAGGAATCCTGCATTACTTTTTTCTGGCATCTTTCGCATGGATGTGTTTGGAAGGGGTTCAGCTCTATCTGATGCTGGTGGAGGTCTTCGAGAGCGAATATTCACGCAGGAGATATTTCTACATGACGGGATACCTCCTCCCCGCTGTGGTCGTGGGCGTTTCCGCTGCTGTAGACTACAGGAGCTATGGCACTAAGAAAGCGTAAGAGAGCGTTTTCTTAGTTTTTTTGTTTTGTTTAGTTTTTTTAAATGCAGTGCTGTCTGCAGGAGCGTACCACAATCTGACGGTTCCATAGGTACCACACACACAGAAAGTCTTCAGAGGATGCCTTACAGTACCAAATGTGGTTTCCAGGCAGGGCTGCATGTGTTAGTGTCTTTTGTTCAAAGAGTCTCTGGTGACCTGTTGTTTGTAAATGCTCTCTATCGGAGACGAGGGCCGCATGAGAAAGAGGCTTTTACGCAGATTAATGGCAGTGCTTCAGCCCTGCATGGGCTCTTGGGTTGCTCCTTATAACACATAAACAGGTGGTAGTGTGTCGGCCCTGTCTGCCACATCGCTAGTCTTTTAATACGAAGCACAGTGGTTTGCTTTAGATATGTTATGAAAGCGATGCTTGTAGCATTGCATTTGTCTCTGATGTTTTCTACGGTTTCTTAGAGCGCTGTAGCATTGACGATTTATATGATCAGTGTTTCCTGCTGGAAGACACACTCTAGAGAAACTGGATCCGTTACAGGAAATTACTGTCTTTGAGCAGCGTTTAATAAACGAATGCGGAATCAACCCATATAAAACATTGTAACGTAACCCACATGAGCCTGCTCAGTAACAGATACTGTCCTTAGTGTGTATGTTTATTGGTTCTGTTTGTAAAGTCAAGCATCACTAATACAATTGCTCATACTTAAGGTTCGGGATTCAAACAAAAAAAAAAACTACTCAATTTCATGTGTAATTGCATTCCAAAATGTGTCAGAACGCAAGTATTCGCTTGTTAAGACTGACTTTCCGGGTCCAAACGCTTCATCAGATTCCAAAAGCAAATGGTGCTCAAATATACACTTCAGGGTGTGCTGTAATACTACCAAAATATCATGATCCTAACTTTTATCTGCATACCAAAATCTCAGATGACCAGATGGTGATTCATCCTTTATGGATCTTTAAAATATTGGTGCCTGGGATGCAGTGAGCCCGGAGGCTGTAGTGTAGACCGTGCTTTTAAAAGCATAGCTTAAAGGGATAGTTCACCCAAAAATGAACATTTTATCATCATTTACTCACCCTCATGTTGTTCCAAATTTATATGAATTTCTTTCTTCTGTTGAACACAAAAGATGATATTTTGAAGAATGTTGGGAACCAAACAGTTGCTGTAGCCATTGACTTCCATAGCATTTTTTATGGAAGTCAATGGCTACCAGCAACTGTTTGCTTACCCATATTCTTCAAAATATCTTCTTTTGTGTTCAGTGGAAGAGAGAAATTCATACAGGTTTGGAACAACATGAGGGTAAGTAAATGATGATAACATTTTCATTTTTGGGTGAACTATCCATTTAAATGACATGAGATGCATTGATATCAAGTGATGGCAATAAATAGTGCCCATGCCATTATCTTTACGTCAACTTCTGACACAATCAGAAACAGTTAAAAGAGAATTTCGCTCGATAGTTGATCAGCCCTCCACAATTTTCACCCGGTGGGCCAATTTTGTATCTAGAAAGTGTAGGCAAGCACCATTTGTTAAAGAACATGTTAGAAATCTAAGTACTAGTAACAGGATGACTTAGACATGTTTTCTATAAACTGCGCAACTTGTGTTGTCTTTGCAGATGCTGGCTCAGGATGGACAATCACTTCATCTGGAGTTTCATCGGGCCCGTCACCTTCATTATTATGGTGCGTTCAGTATCTACTGACCTTCACATGGCTTAAGATTGTATATGGCATGTACATGCGTCAGGTGAAAGAACAAAAAGGAGAACGTTTCTGTGCAGTGCAAGACCGTGTTTCAGAGTTTAAAGAGTAATTGACAAAATCCTCCCGTGCAAAAACATCGAGCTGCCTTTGTTTCTTCAGTCTTATTCAACAGATTGCAGCCCATTGATTTCTGCTTAGATCGGTTCAGTCTCAGCAGACCCAGTCAATGCGGTTTGCAGAGAGGTTCGGAAATGCTGCTCTTAAGGCTTTTTTTTTCTTTTTTCTCAGGGATCGTTTTGATACAGCTTTTTCAGCGTGGCATCAGAGCACAACATTATCCTCAAATGATACTCAGCAGGGTGCTTTCAAGCTACGGGGTCGAGACAACCCCTCGGGATATGGATAGAAGAAACGGCAATGTCAAATAATACAAATCAAAAACGTATATTGTCATGGTTCAACCTTTTAAGGAGGTAGCTGATGACACTACAGAGTTTGTTTGCCGTGAGATGCCGGTCATATGGCACACGGGATTGACACAGCTGCAGTTTAAGCGTGCTGTTATTTGTGAACCAAGAGATTAGAGCCTCGGACTAGATTGGGGAGGTTAAGAGGAAGTAGGCCTGAGAGAGACAAAGATAGAGAGAGTCTAGCAGGTGCTATTCACATCTGTCTGGCTGTTTGTTTGCCTTCTAAACTCTGGATGAAAAAACAAATCGTCTTCCTGAAAATGGAAGGACAAGAGGAGATATTTGTGGAGGGTTGACTTTATTATATCCTTTATGCTTATGTAAACAGACCAGTTGATCTTCCACAGTGATGGAAGCTCTGTTTATTGGAAAGACTTTTAGTTGAAAACAGATTTAGAGACACACAGGTGGTTCAAACACTGGTTTGTGCTGCAATAAAATATAGAAGGTAATTAGAGAAGTGGCCTGAAACAATTGGAGAGGAGTGGCCTGAAACATCTACATCTGCTTTTAATAATCAAACGCTATGACATGATCTAGAGATTATTTAAATATTTAAAAAATAAAATAAAATAAAATAAATTGAGCATTTCCATTAAATGGAATCTGTCACGTGACATCCTAACCATAGAGTAAATGCAAAAGCAGACATAGAAAAAACAAATAAAAATTCAAACCAATTTAAATGTAATTATTACTGTGAACATTGAAATTGAACATTTACTTAAAATAATTTGACTACAGAAAATGTGATTTGCTGTGACTGTAGATATTTTAATTCTTGTAATTTGTTTCAACATTTCTATTAAAATTTTACCTTGACTAGTTAATAATTCTGTGGAATGTCAAATTTAGGTACAACTATTGGATGTATGCGCGCAATTAAAATAAGGTCATAAAAGCTGAATGTGTAATATTTATAAATAATTATCAAACTGCTGTTGTATAGTTATAAATGGAGTATAACATATCCCTCTTCTCAACATGTCAAACTGATTTTAAAGAGGCTGACAGGCCACGAGATACTGCAAACAATGCACATTTTTGCCGCCGCTCTTAGAGGAAGTCCTACAAACCCAGAGATCTGCTCGTTTAGCCACTGCAGTGATGCATGAGGCGTGATGTATGTGTTTGCCGTGTTGCTGATAATCAGAATACGTGTTCCAGTCATCAGCGGCAGGAAGCTTGTGACCCTTTATGAAGCTGATTTATTGTTGCGTGGCTCTGCTCGGACAGCAAGCAGCACTCGTAGTCCTCCGGCTGCTTGACAGTGCTAGATAAAGCACAAAGACCAGAGACTCTCAGGGGAACGCGAGACCAAGGTTTCCCCCAACCTCTGACCCCTGATTCTCAGCAGATTGGCTTTGTCCTTGTCAATGAGAGAGCCAGAGCGAGTCTCATTATTAAGAGTTTCACCCATTCCGCCGTGCAGAGGGAAAGAATAGTGTGATCCTGTTCAATTAGATGAAGCCCATTGTGGTTCTCATTATTCTACATCTATTTTCAGCGTCCTCATGCCCGATGCAGCAGCGATGTAGAGCTCCGTGAATTTCACAGCTAATCAAGTCCCTTTTTCCACCAATAGGGTGCCTGAGACGGTGTCTTATATGCAAGTGTTTTGCACAGTTTTCTACCACAGAAAAGTCGATTCTGAGCCAGAAATATTGGCTTTACATTTACTGTTAATACATTCTGGTCTCCAACAACATGAGTGCTGATGTCTATTTTAACAAGCAACACTATCTTCAACCCAGGTTCAATGGAAACGCATATCTGTGGCAACATTTCTTGTGCGTTTTGTGACACTTTCAAAGTGAAACGTCTTGTGAGCGGCGCTAAAAACGTGTTCAGTTTTAATCTAAAACAAATGAGTGTGAATCTGCCAACATTTTATTCCAATTCATTTGATTTGATTTTTGCATGTATTGTGGTAGTTCAGAAATTGAATGTCCAATGAGTAGCTCTAAAAAAATTGTTTAAAAATAGCATACCACTTAAACTAAACCCTACCCTAAACCTAACCAATAGTGTTAACACTATTGATGTGAGATCAAACTCATAGAGCAACAAATGCAATTTTAGTTCACTTTTACAAGTCTTTGAGCTCTTTTATCATGACTCGTGTTTTATCAAGCGCTCAGCATTTGCATGTGCATTGCTGTACCAGGTGAGCTACCAAGCGAGTTTACTACATTAGAAAAAAAAAAAATTAATAATAAATAAAATAACAAAATAAAAACTGATTTAGACATTATATATATATATATATATATATATATATATATATATATATATACAGTATACTGGTATGTAAATTAATTTCAGCATACATATATGGAGCTGGTAATGTGATGCGAGTGTCAAACTGTATTACTTTACAAATAATGCGCTATTGTAGAAGCGTTTTGAACATAACATTGTGCAAGGAGCCGTGCAAAAAATGTCTTTATTATTTAATAATCTGCCCCTCTAATTATCATTTGTGTGAAAAAGAAATAAATCTTGTTGGTGTTTTACTGCTACCAGTGGTAATTTCAGCTGGAAACTTCAGTGAATTTTATGTATAGGTATGTTTTCTGAGTTTTACAGAATTTTAGGCAGAAGCACATATTTCCAATGAGCCTGTATTGACTACCTTGGTTAAATAGCTTCACCTAAAAGACCATGCTGGTCCAGTTAACAGCATAAACTGGTCTGTAAATTCATTTCAACAAAGCTGTTTATACTTGAAAAGCCTGGTATGCTAATGCAACATAATTTTTTTCATTCATACTTTTATTTTTGTTTTGTTTAGTTCTGTTCTTGTTCTGTACTGTTTTTGTTTTGTTCTAAAATATTTTAATTTACAAATTAATTTACTTTAATGTGAATTTTATTACGACCGTTTCATCAAAAGCAGCTTGTAATGGAATAAAGACTCAGAGTAAGATTAAATCTCATAACAGCTGGCAAAAAAGTACCTAATTGCTTTGTTTATAAACAGGTTAGAAAGTAATATTGTTTGTTACATCATCATATGGCTCTCAAGTCAGAGAAAACGTTGTGGAAAATGAAGGCACTGATACTGAGAGAAGTTCGCACATCCACCAGCCGAGCACTGCACTGTAAAAAATGATTGTGATTTTAACAGTAAAAGACTGTAAAAATGCTACAGTAAAAACCTGTTAGTTAAGTTTCCATACTATATTCGGTGAATAAATGTAATTACATTTAATGTAATTTTACAGTAAAATACTGTTAAAAATAAGGTTTTTGGAAGTGAAAAAGAAAAAGTAATTGTATAATTTACAGT